TGATAGGGTAGAAGAATCCTACATAGACCAATTGATAAATGCAGGACTTATAAACACCAAATACAACAAAATTGAAAGAGTAGATAAAACTAAGTTTAAGAAAATCAGAACGGGACTAAAGGAGGAAAGGAATAGACACTCGCCAGGAGATGCACGAGCCAGCAAACACCCTACACCAAGTTCTCGGGATCCACGACTACTCAAAATAAATCATTAAAGATAATTCAGCGCAACGTCCTTGCCTGGACTCTGACGAGGAAATCAGAACTTAATAACATATACAGCACAATAGACCCAGACATCATCCTTATCAACGCACATGGTCGGAAAAACAGTGACAAAATCAAGATCTTTAACTACCATGTACATCAAATGAACATACACGACGAACCACATGACGGAATAGCAATAGCTATAAAACGCAACATACAATACAAAATCATTGACAACTTTCAAAGTAACTTTCTTGCAGCCGAAATAAATACAAGAGGCCCAATAACTATTGGAACTTCATATTTAACATTCAGAAGGCCAATATTCCCTACAGGGGACATCATAAAACTAATGAGGCAAAACAATCCAGCATACTTCATAGGAGACCTAAATGCTAAACACACAACCTTAGGAAACAATATTAGAAACCCGGGAGGAAAAATCCTCCATGCTCTCATCGAACACGGGACAATAACACACCTCGGGCCCGACTTCGCAACTTACGTATCAGCCGGTAACACTGGGAAACCAGACATTGTTTTAACCAATAGGCATCACCATCTAAATGTACATCTAAAATCTGGACCCACAACAACCAGTGATCATCTACCCATAATAGCAACTCTATCCACATCCCCGATACAAATTCCATCAATCCCAAGATTTTCACTCAATAGAGCAAACTGGGAAAAATTTAAATCGGATCTTAGCAATAACGAACCAACACTCCTACACAACAAAGACACAACAGAGATTGACAAAACACTAGATACATGGTACAATGAAGAAATAACAGCAATGAAAAACAACATCCCAAAAAACAACATACCGTACATTACCACATGCACAATTAACATATGAAGAGAAAATGATCCAAACTAGATTCACCAATCTATATGAATACACAAAAACACACGGGTGGAGCAATGACAACAGAATATTATACAGGAATCTAAAAGAAGAACTGAAAGACATAAGCAAGAACAAGCACAATGAAACATGGAACAAGCTCATTCATGATACACAAGCAGATTACAGAAATCCAAAAGCATTCTGGAAAAAAATAAAAAACCTAATGGGAACTAATTCGGAAGAAACTAGTTACATAAAGGACAAAAACGGTAGAAAGGCAACAGAACCACACGATAAAGAACCAATATTCAGAGAATACTGGAAAGACATATTCAGAATCAACGACGAAGACAATAGAAGCTTCTGCCAAGAAACAGAACAGGCAACTAGAACATATTTGAGCCAGAACACAGAGAAATGGAAACCTACCAGGAAAATCAACCTCAATTCATTAAACATCAATAACCCAATAATTGCTCCATTAACTCAAAATGATATTGAAAAAACAATAGCAAGCTTCAAGAACAAAGCACCTGGCATAAGCCAAATTAATAAAATCGTACTACAAAACATTCCTCAGTCTATGATCGAACAGCTTAAAAATATATATATAATGCCTCACTTGCAACTGGCTTCTTCCCTACCAAATTTAAAATAGCCAAAATCAGACTCATCCCGAAAGCAGGAAAGAACCTTACCCAAGCAGAGAACTACAGACCCATCTCATTACTGGAAACACCCGGTAAAATATTGGAAAAAATAGTCAACCACAGACTCAGAAATTTTCTAGACCAAGAAAACAAATATAACCCGAGACAGCACGGCTTTCGGAAAAATCGAGGAACCAACACAACAATAGCACTAATATACGAATCAATTGCAAATGCTGCAAGCAACAGAGACCAATGCAATATGATTCTAAGAGATGTGTCAAAAGCATTCGATAAAGTCTGGCATGAAGGACTGAAGTTAAAAATAATCAAATTGGACATGCCTACCAATATCACAACACTACTATGCAATTTCTTAGACAACAGAAAGGCCAAATTAATCATCGACAACCATCTAGGACAAACTTTCATCCTTCACAGTGGAGTTCCCCAAGCTAGTAATATATCGCCGACATTATACACTGTATACACGGCAGACATGCCGCAACCACGGCAATCAGAATATATAGCATATGCAGATGATGTAACACAGATAGTCAGGTACCCAGGAAAATCCAAACAAATGATGGCCATTAGAACAAGTAGAGAAATAGAGATAATATACAACTATAAACGAAAATGGAAGATAAAAACCAATGTCCAAAAACTCAAAATAATTCACATCGCAAAAACAAACCCCTACCCTATTATTGTCAACAACCAACAAATACCATATGCTGCCAACGGAAAAATATTAGGACTCAAGATAACCAGAAAAGGAATAATCCCCCACATCAATGAAAGAATAGTTATGGCAAAATCACAACTTACAAAGCTCAGAAGATCCCGCCAATTAAACACCAACACGCAATTGCACCTATACAAAGCACTGATCAGACCACACTTAGAATACCCTCCGATACCTCTGAACACAATCGCAAGAACAAATCAACTTAAATTTCAAGCAGTGCAAAATATAGCCCTCAGAAGAGCGGCAAAACACCAACCACCATACACACAAACAGTACAAGACATACACACAGAACACGGCATAGACCCACTCAACACCAGAATACACACCCAAGCAAATGCAATATGGGAAAAAATCCAGCAAGAACAGGATCCCATACTAGTCCAACTAATTGAGGAAAACAACAACACATCGCACAGATGGTGGCCTAGAAGCAGAAAAAATGATACCGAAGAACCAGAGCCTCTATATACACAATAAAAAAGAACCAAAAGATGGGCACAACTCTCCAGTCACACAAGGACCTGGAGGGACCCACAAATAAACAAAGGCCTATATAGTTCACAAACACCCACAATAAAAAACTAAAAACGAAAAAGATGGGGATCATCCCTCCAGTGCCACAAGGACCTGGAGGGACCCCCCCCCCTATGATACTATGCCCCAAGGAAACATCAAATAGAACAACTTAACTCAGCTTGGCTGAGACCGGCCTTCCCTAACCACATGAGTCCTCTAATGCAGCACTGTTGACGGAAGACAAAAAACCCCGTCTCCGCAAGGTGGATAGCCCACCTGCTGTTAACCTCCTCCTCTATTTCCCACTTCTGAACTTTACCTTGTACTGTACCCTCCTTGCACCCTCAGAGCAAATGCTCTCTTCTCTCCGTATCACCGACCGACCGACCTGTCTCTTTCTACCTACACCAACCAGCCAGCAACACCTCCTCCTCCTCCTCCTCCTCCTCCGCCTGCCTGGCGGTCCTCGCTCCCGCCAGCGAGCTTGGCGACCCACAAGCTGTCCTCCTCTGAGCACCCTCACCAACCAACTCTCTTCTTCTAGCTACAGCCGCAGCCAGCAACACCTCCTCCTCCTCCGCCTGCCTGGCGGTCCTCGCTCCCGCCGGCGAGCTTGGCGACCCACAAGCTGTCCTCCTCTGAGCACCCTCACCAACCAGCTCTCTCTATTCAACGCTTGTAACCATGCTGCCTTCCCAGCACCAAGCTGCATTGTACATCCAATACAATATGTATACAGAGAGCACATTGTGAGTTTCCTTTCTCCATCCCATCCTGAGTGTGAACCCAAACAACTGTACCCCACAAACTGCCACATGTGCTTAAATTCCTGATTAGAACTAGCACGTTTAATTTCAAAGAAAATCCCCATTTTGGCGTATAATAGATTATACATATTACTGAAGAGCCTTCCAGAAATCCGTGTGTATAGTTAAATACAGTAAGGCTGAGGTCTTTTGTGTACATTGAGGGACAAAAGTATCTTCCCAGTTTTTCTGATGATTTTTTTAAACCTGACGAAGCAATGAAAGATTTACCTCGACCACATAATTATGAACAGTTGGTATGATTGACTGGGTAGCTTGATTCATCAGAGAAGCAGTTCTCTATGAGGAACATGAAGCATATTCATGGTGAAACATCCCAAAGTGTTCTAACGAGCCGATCAGTGAGCTCCAAGAACGGTCAAAGAAGTGGCTGCTGAGATTCAATGTCACGAAGTGTAAGATGATGCACCTGGGGCGTACCAACGGTAAGGAGGCGTATCATATGTCCCAACGGGATGAAGAAACTGCACTATTTGAGACTGAATGTGAGAAGGACCTAGGTGTGTATGAAGTTCCCGGGCCATTGCGAGAAGAAGGTAAATCAGGCTGTCTAGATATCTAACACTGCTTACGAACCAAGAACCACAACTACCCAGTGGGTAACGCTATTATTGTACCCCTAGATTTATTTATGCATTTATTCATTTATTATAGTTTAGGCTACCCTTCTGAATCCTTGTGAACGGCGGAGCATCCATGCCACTCCACACTGGCTCTGACGTTCTTAAACATCATGGACCATTGTCATCTCCGTAGAACCCTTGACTATTTTCTGCTTTGGAACTTCCTGTGTGGTGTTACCAGAACTGGTCAGCTGGAATCAACTACGTGCTTCCCCATCTCCATTGCGTAATAAACTCCGCTCCGTGGTCTCGGAGTTCCCCACCATACACCCACCTGCTGCATCCTTTAAGTGGCCGTCACGGTGGCTTTCCTGGACAAACTACCTGGTATTCCCTTCACTTTACGAAACGTTAACGCAAATTTATGCAATAATTTATATATACGGTACCATACTTAATCTAACTTTATTTTATTTACATGTTCATCGATATGCACACAAGTTGCAGTCACGTCAACACGAACGTTCTGTAAGTTATTCTCAGTAATAGGAAGAGTCTAGATATAACAAATGTGTACCTATGGCAATGAGATGTCTCCATCCTGCTATGGTATATATGAGAGGTTGGGTAAAGTTCTGCACTGCAACACTGAGCAAAGAGTCAACCACATCTACCTGGCCAAGAGACTCCAAGACAGCAAACATGAGAATGATTAGGTAAGTTACCGTATCTTTTCATGGCATGGTGTAACTACAGTATATTAGGATGCACTGGTCAGTAATACCTAACACTTGTTTGTTTATACAGTAGATTCATGAGAACGCGAGACCACTTAGATGTGAGTGGTCGGTGAGGTGTCGTTCAGAGAGTGGTTCGAATCAATGATACATGACGCACTTAGCCAATCCCTGGTTCGTTCTGAGATGAAGAGTTGAGTCTGATCAGCTACGGCCCTTAAATTATCTCCAACACCTCGTTCAGTGAGCCGCCGTGCTTCTTTATGTTGTAAAGTTGGTCTGATTCCCTGTGCCCCTTTTCCAATATTTACTTTTAAGTTCTCTAGTGTACATTTATTACTTGGTGACGTTTAAATTATCGTACTGTACTGATTACATCTCGTTTGTGTATGCTGTTATTTTGTTGCGAAACTGTTCCATCACTTGTCTTGTATTTCAGTGTGTTCACATGTGTTCGGAATTCCTGTTAATGATTACCAATCATTTTGTATTAAAATTAAGATTCTTATGACACTCGTTTCATATTCTTTATTTTATTCAATAGACTTTTATTTACGGTGAGCGTTATTGATACAGTAGTTGACTCAGCCCTGGAAACTTTGGCCATATTTGTTTTAACCAATGAATGAATTTAGTTTAAATTGTTCAGCTAAGACGTTTATATATTCCAAGAATACTAGTACTGAACTAACTGAGAATGTATTGCTCTTGGGTAAAGTTTGGTGTGGACTTCATAAAATCGGCTACCCAAGGTGGACAGTTTCCATGGTTCCCCCTCGTCCACTTATTACACCCAAGGAGTCCTCACCCAACTGGCACTCGCCCAAGGGAGGGGAAGAGTCAGTGTGTTTGTATGAGTGTTTGTGTGAGTATGAATGAATTTATGAGTGTGTTTTCGTGTTCTTTGGAAAGTACTGAAATTAGGATTGATAATGTTCGTTTTGCCACAGCTGAATCTTCAAATAAGTGAGTAATATCTAAGTTATATTGAACTACCATGATGTTCCCTACAGCACCTGGGTGAGGGAGGCGTTGGTGTTGGTGGCGGTGTTGGTGTTGGCAGCCAAAGATGTGGCAGCATACCCCGATCCTCAGCGTCCCTATGGCTATCAGCCACAGGTATGTGTGTTTCCGAGGTGTAGGTGTAATTACATATGCTCTATCAAGGCTTCTGTACTGTTGGAGGATGGCTCACTCCAGTGGGCGAACGCGTTCAACCCGAATGAAGCGCCGCCAAGCGGCCGCTGTGTATAAAACACATCACGTCCATTGCACCTTATTGTGTTGTACAGAATTCTTGGCTCTGTCTACCTCATGTTGTCATAATGTTCTAGTCGAAGTAGATTGATTTATATAACTTTCAGTTTGAGATGTTTATTACTAAGCTGTTGTGTGGGTTTATACAGTCCAAAGAACTAACTTACATATATTGTAAAGTGTCTGGGGTATGTAGTATTTTGTGTTGTCCTTTGTTTGTGTCATTTTAATGGGGAAGTTGTAGCTTTTGACACATGGAAACTCACAGGTAGAGAGACGGGTTGATATGGGTTAAAGTAACAGTGATATTTTTTTTTTATGAAAACCACATCAAAGAATTCGTAAAAAATAAAAAATAAATCAGTTGCACGTCAGGTTTCAAAAGTTCAGAATATTTGTTTAAATGCTGTTTTAATAAAAAAAATACCTGTTGCTGCAGGTATGCACGACGTACTATAAAACGCAGACCGTGGCAGTCCCCAAGTACATCACGCAGACCAGCTACCAGACCAGTTACCAGACCCAGGTAAAACATTATGTATGTGTGTGTGTGTGTCATACAAATAGTTACAATCTGGTCCGAGACATTTGGGTATTTACTTACGTCCTGTTAAAGTCACCTGCTGTCCAAAACGCTCAGTATATCACGCAATGATTCATCGTAAAGGCTTTCTCTGCGATTGAACCTCATAACTTTTTTTAGTCTTACTGTATACATTACTACAGCTCAAACCACTCCTCCTTGAGTCATTAGTGTCATAATCATCAATGTACCTCTTACAGTACCAAACGCAGTATGTCACCCAGACGCAGATACAGCCAACCTATGTCACGGAGACAGTAGCTCAGTACGTCACCAAGAAGGAGCCTGTCGTGAGTTACGTCACCAAGACAGTAGCCAGCTATATCACCAAGACCGTAAAGGACACCCAATACATCACTAGGCCCTGCCAACAGACTTCTGGAGGTGTGTGAAGTTTGTCCATTTCGGCGACACAGTTGAGCTCTTTTAGTTATCTTATCTTGGATGATACACTATAGTATCTCCATAAACACACTCGTGCAATATTCAGGAACCTTTAAAATAACTTCCTGTACCTCTTTCACCAAACTATAACCATCTATAATAGTGTTCTTTCCGCATTTACCCAATAGAGGTGGCCAAGCCGAGGGAAGGAGGCTAGTGGCCTGTGTAGAATCCCTCCATTGGTAATTTGGTCAAGGGCTATTTTGAAGCCCTACTGTTCTTGATTCCACAGATTCCAAATATCAATGTATTCATAGCATCACTGTCTTTTCCAGGAAGTCGCTATAAATAACATATGCGCTCTTCTTTTCAGGCTATGGTAGTAGCAGCAATGGTGGTAGCGGGGGTTATGGTACCAGTGGTAATTACGGTGCTGGTAATATTGACGTGAGGGTTAGAAACACGGGTGGTTCCTCAGATGACTGGGTTTGGCCTGCCTAACGCAAAAGTTCTGTGATACCGCCCGTTCTGCCTCACATGTGGCACGCAACTCTGCCAACCTCCAGCCTCCCGCCGCGCCCGGAGGGGAAGGGGAGTATTGTAGTGGGTTCCTCCCCTACAAGCACCGAACTTTCTCGAATTCCCCAGCCTACGCCTCCAGCGCCGCCCACGGAGCGGGGGTCAACTATCTACCCACGCCTACCCCCGCCTTATAAAGCCTGACACCACTGTGACCACTCTCTTTCTACACAGTGCCACCAGCAAGCAACACCTCTTCCTCCCCGCCAGCCTGGCGGCTCCCGCTCCCGCCAGGACCTTGGCGTCCCTCAAGCCGCGTGTCCCTCCTCTGGGCACCCTCACCACCCAGCTCTCTCGACTCAACGCTTATTACCATGCTACCTTCCCAGCAACAAGCTGCATTGTACATCCAATACAATATGTATACAGTGAGCACATTGTGAGTTTCTTTTCTCCATCCCATCCTGAGTGTGAACCAATATCTCATAACCCTACAGTACCTCACACAAAAACAATGATAAACTAGACCAGTGGTAGACAACCTGCGGCTCATCAGTTATGTGGGTGCTGACCACAAGACGATCTATTTGACCGTTGTCCTCACATAAAAGAATTGTACAAGAACACCGATTTGGCCATTTGTTGAATATTTGGTAATTAATAACTACTTTTGTGATTTGGCTGGGGTTTATATTAATTTTACTTAAGTGTTTTCTTGAGGCGCTGACAACTTTTATTAGTTTCAACTTAATTCCCCAACACAAATGGATGCATACATACAATTGGCCTATTTAATTTTCAAAACGGCAAAAGCTTCCGATTAGTATTAGACTTTTAAAAAGCATGGCAGTGAGTCTGCCATGCCAGTGGTCGTGGGAGTACTTACCTTTATGTACTGTACTGTACATACAGCCTTCGGAGGCAGCGTGGCCGGTACTGCTTGTGACCGCATTCACTTCCCCAAGTTGTCACCTTGTAACGACCACGGTCATACACGTCAATTAGCGCCAAAATCAAATGATTCATATTACGCTCAATAGCCCACAAAACATGTAACTCTGCTTTCGTTTGAGTCCTCCATCTGAGGTGTCCGTTTTCTCATCACTTCAAGACACCTCAGTCCTCCGTTATCCCATTTTCTCTGACTTACTGCAACCAACCTCTCTATAAAATAAATTTGAATATGAGAGAGCACACCCTTGTTTTGAGTCAACTTAGATATGTCTGTTTACAGTTGGAACATTCAAGATCCATTCTGAGTGGTGTTGAATGCTTCAACTGTACTTATTGTTAATAAAGCGTGTCAACTAAGTGAGTGTCGAGCTTGCCAGCTAGAGTGGCGTATTTTATGTCGTCCGTGGGGATATCCATGAGTTTCTGATCGCTACTGAAGCTGTGTTATTTTGTCGCCCCGACATCAGAGAATCTGATGTTTATAATTTAGTTAGTGTCAGTTGTCTATTTAAGAAAGTCATTAATCTCCTGAATTATTCTGTCAACCGGTATAATCTCAAAGATCTAACGTTTCCCTGTGAATAGCTCCTTGTTCGCCTCAGGCCTGAGCTCGCAGAATTAATGTTATCAACGTGTATATTCCACCTTTTCCTGGCAAGCTCAACCTCTGATTAGATTATGTGAATAGACATAGATAATTACCCTGATCAGGAACACCGGAGTTCATAATTAAGTATACTTTTACTTTTATCCTCTTCGCCACTGATCGGCTTGTTAGCCGCTTGGGCGATCGGGTCACGTCTCTTTTCATTTATCTTCTTCACCAAAAGATCGGCTCGCAAGCCACCCGGGAGATCGGTCACGTCTCTGTCACGCACTGTTGGCAAATACTGGGCATGCACCGGCTCCTGAATGTACCTGAACCCGCTCCAGTGTTGGTCAAGTCTTGTCTTGAAAGAGCTCACACTCGGTGCCGTCACAACACTCTCTGGTAGATTGTTCCAAGAGTTTACAACCCTCACTCCGAAAAAGTTTGCCCTCACGGTTTTCTGGACTTGCGGCTTTTTCAATCTTGAGCTGTGACCCGTTGTGGGGCGAGCGTCCGCCAGCTCCAAGTAAGGACATTCAACTGAGTAGTGCCCCCTGAGATGCTTATACACCTCAACTAGGTCCCCCCTTGCCCGTCTGTAGTATAAGCTAGGCAAGTTCAGGCGCTCCAATCTCTCAGGGTAGCTGAGGTGCCGAAGTGCAGGCACCAGTTTGGTGGCCCTCCTTTGAGCATTTTCAACCAACTGATAGTCCCTAGCATATCTCGGGGACCAGATGGGGTGACAGTACTCCAGATGGGGAAGCACTTCACTCCTGAAGATCTTTACGAGGGACGGACCGTCTAGATATCTGAACGACCTTCTTATAAGACCCAATAATTTATTTGCCTGATTTACCTTCTTCTCACAATGGCCCGAGAACTTCAGCTCATTGTCAACATACACACCTAGGTCCGTCTCACACACAGTCTCAACTAGTGCAGTTTCTTCATCCCGTTGGGACATATGATACGCCTCCTTACCGTTGGTACGCCCCAGGTGCATCCTCTTACACTTCGTGACATTGAATCTCAGCAGCCATTTCTTCGACCATTCCTGGAGCCCACAGAGGTCCTTCTGCAGCTCTTCTTCACAGTCCGCTTGGTTCTTAATTTCCCGAAATAACTTGGCGTCATCGGCAAACATTTGTATGGAGGAGTGTACAACGTCAGGCATGTCATTTATGAAACAAACAAACAACAGCGGGCCCAATACACTGCCCTGTGGTACCCCACTTGTTACAGGTACAGATTACGATTTCGTGCCATTAATCACCACACACTGCTTGCGGTCATCTAGAAAGTCTTCTATCCACGCTAGGACATTTCCCCGAATTCCGTACCCTTCCAGTTTGATTTTCAGCCTTTCGTGGGGTACACTGTTATGAGGGCCTCTACTGCCACCATTTATGAGGGCCTCTGTGTGCCAGTAACAATTCCTTTTACTCTCATACTTATTACCATTGGTAGCGTGACGAGAGGAGGCTCGTGGGTAGATGTAATGATAGTAACAAGCAATAGGGAAGAAATACCGGTAAATACTGTTGGTAAATAATAGACACACTATACAAATACAAAGTTTATTTAAACATTAATATGAAATTAGGAGAAAGCATTTATTTGTACCAACAGACGAAATCTAGTAGTAGGCCCTCAGGCTCAACATACTCACACCACTACTGGGTGGACATACTCAATAACACTTCCAACCCTACTGGGTGGATATACTCAATAACACACAACTCTTATAGTCACTTAGCACCATAAAGACCAGGGCAACTGCCACTACAACACTCAGTCGTCAGGGGTGATACTCAAGCAACAGCCATGGGGTCCAGCCACCATGGAGTACTTTCCGACGAACTCTGGAGATCCCAGTGGATTAATTCCACCACACAAATAGCCCTACTGAGTTAGACACTCATCCACCAATGATGGGGGCTGGTAGTGGTGTGTGGCTTGGTGATCCGGGGTCACCTCGCAGGCCGAGCGTTAGGGCCAGACGAGCCAGCTATGGGGGCTATAGGTAGTCTGAAGTGTCTGACGGCCGGGTCTCACGAAGGGAACTGATCCTACTGGACCTCGGACATCTCCCCAGACATAGTGGATACAACATCCACGCTACAGACACGGCCTAGGCTGCGTTAGGGACCTGTATGGATGAAGGGACGGGCACCCATTATAGAAATGCTCGCGGCGCCCCTTTTGACCAAAATATGCCAGGAGTCCACCTACTTCTATTCCGGCGAATTACTTACTGTACACCCTGACGTTGAAACTGACTATAAACTGCTTCATTCCTACTATCTTCACTTCATCAATGCTCTGACCAGCTATCGCAAAAGCAAAAATTAAATTCGATTAAAAGGGTTGATGGCAACAGGTCCCAACATACAGCGTCTGGGTTACGAAATCCGTGGATTATATTCAGTTCCCTACAAACAATATGGGGAAACAGAACGGGGGGGACGCCTTCCACTGGGGACCTGGTAGAAGGTTTTGCAGTAGGACGTTTCCAGCGTAATGTGAATCCTTCATAATAGGTTAGCCATCATCACGATCATGACACTGTCGGTTTTGGCAAAATCTATAGGTAAATACTGTCGATATTACCAAATTTCGTTCCAAGAATATGGGTCCAAACATCCAAATACCTTGAGCAATTGTGTTAAGCAAGATGCCCCGGCATAAAACCGTGTTGGCAATCTTTTTGCTAAGGTTGTTTCGTATTAGATGTTCCATTGCATCTCTGGATAATAATTTCAAGTACTTTATATATTATGCTGGTCAGGCTCAATTTAGTCTATAGTTGTTCGTGGAGGACGATCGCTCCTTCTTGAAGATAGACTCACATGTCACTCTCTTCCATTCACTGGGGACCATTTGTTCATCCAGGCATTTTGCTACAAAACAGATCTTCAGGGCTCTGCACCCTGTTGCACAACTCTTAGCACTCTAGGATGCACCATGTCAGTCAAATTTATGACCTTTTAGCTCAAGGTTTATTTCTAATATCTCTGTGAACACAATGTGGGTCAGTGCTTTGTCGAACCGTCTGTCCTCAAAACGCAGGAAGGTTACATCCTCTCAGAACACTGGAGAAAAGAAACTGTTCAATGCCCTCGCTTTATCCTGGTCAGAATCTGCGTAACTACCATCCATTAGCCTCAGGTCTGATACTCCTACTCGCGTTTTCAATTTCGACTTTGCATAGCGGTAAAACGCCTTTGGGTTTGACTTGACCTCGCTTGCAACCAGCCTCTGGTGTAACGACCACGGTCTTACACAACAGTTAGAGCCAAAATCAAATGATTCATATTACGCTCAATAGGCCACAAAACATGTAACTCGGCTTTCGTTGAGTCCTCCATCTAAGGAGTCCGTTTTCTCATCACTTCAAGACACCTCAGTCCTCCGTTATCCCATTTTCTCTGACTTACTGAAACCAACCTCTCTATAAAATAAATTTGAGTGTGAGAGAGAACACCCTTGTTTTGAGTCAACTTAGATATGTCTGTTTACAATTGGAACATTCAAGATCCATTGTGAGGTGGGTGGA